TTAACATCATCAACATTATCTTTATTATTATCATTACTAACAGTATTATAATCATCATTATTATAATTATTTTTATTATCATTATGGCCATTATTATCATTAATATTTTTATCACTATTATTATCTTCATAATCCTTATTATTATTTTTATAATTATCATCGTTATTATTATAAACACTCATATCATTATCTATAATATCATTTATGTCATTGTCAATGTTATCATCATTATTATTAATTTTCGCATTATTATCATCATTAGAATCTCCATCATCATTGTTATCTCCATCATTGTCATCTTCATTATTATCATTGTCATGATAATCGTAATCATTATCATCATCATCATTATCATAATGATCATCATCATCATTATTATCATTATCATTTTTATTATTATTATCATTATCATCTATAGCATCGTTATCATTATTGTCATTATAATCATTGGCATAATTAAGCTGACTATCATTATCTTCATCTTTCTCATCGTCAGCATTTTAATCATAATTATCATTATTATTATAACCATTATCATCATCATCATTATGATCATTATCATTATTATTATTATTATCATCGTCATTATCATTATCGTTGATATCGACATTGTCATCGTCATCGTCGTCGTCATCGTCGTTGCCGATGTTGTCGTCGTCGTCGTTAATGTTGTCGTGGTTTTGGTCGTCGTTGTAGTTGTCGTCATCATCGTTGTCATCATCTTCGTTATCATTATTATCATTATTGTCATCATTATCATAATTATTATTATAATGATCATCATTATCACTATCATTATTATTATTTTGATTATTATTATTATTACCATTATCATTAGAGATATTATTATTATTATCGTTATCATTATCATAATTATTGATATCGACATTGTCATTGTCGTCGTCGTCATCCTCATTGCCGATGTTTTCGTAGTTTTTATTACTGTAAGCGTCGTCACTGTCATCGTCAGTACCATTATCTTTAATATCATCATCACCATTTTCATCTTTATAATTATTATTATTATCATCATCACTATCATCAACATAACCATTATTATTATTGTCATCACCATCATTGTTATCACCATCATTACTATCACCATCATTTTTATCACCATCATCATTTTCATCGTCATTATTTTCATCATTAACATTATCAGTATTATGATTATGATTAATAGTATTTTTATCATTATAAATAGCATTGTTTTTATCATAATCATTATTATTATCGGCATTTTAATCATTACTGTCATAATCATTATTATTTTTAACATTATCATAATTATTATTATCATTATTATCGTTGTTATCGTCGTTATCGTCATCGTTTTTATAATTTTTTCTATCATTTTTGTCGTTATTATTATCGTTAATATTCATATGATTATCATTTTTTTTATCATTTTCATTATCATCATCTTTATCATTATGATTATCATCAGCATTATCATTATTTTTATTAATATCATTACCATCCTTATTTGTATCATTATAATAATTATTAACATGGTTATCATTACCATTTTTACAATTATAGTCATTGACATATTATCGTCAACATCATTATGATCATAGTTATTATTTTAGTCATTGTCGTCGTCTTTGTCGTAATAGTTATTATTTTATATATTCATGATCATTAAAATTATCATGATTATAATTATCTTCATCGTCATGGTCATTGTTGTTATCATCGACATTGTCATCATCGACATTGTCATCATCAACATCGTCATCATAATTATTTTTATTATTATCATCGTCATTATTAACGCTATCATTATTATTATTATCATTACTATCAACATTATCGACATCATCATTATCATCATTTTTATCGTAAGTGTTATCATTATATTTATTATAATCATCACTATTGTTATTATTATTATGATTGTTATTATTATTATCATCATTGTTATTACCATTATTATTTTTATTGACATTGTCATTGTCATCGTCGACGTCATCGTCGTCGTCGTTGTCTCATTTGTTATCGTCACTGTCATTGTCACTGTTATTATTGTCGTTATTATTGTTGTCTTTAACGTCTTTACTGTCGTTGTCGTCTTCGTCGTTGTTGTTGTTTTTGGTGCAATTGTCGTCGTCATCATGTCATTGTCGTTTTTATCATTGTTTTCATCATTATTATCATTATTATTATGACCATCTCGATTGTTATCATTATTTTTGATATATCGTCCTTATTATTATTACCATGATTATCGTTATCATTATTATTAAACGCATGAATATTAACATCGTTATTATTATAATAACAGTGTTTATTATTTTTATCATTAACATCATTATCATCATTATAATCATTATTTTTATCATCATTGTTATTATCGTTATCATCTTTTACATGATTTTTATCATTAACCTTATTATCACGATAATTATTATCATTATTATTATTATCGTGATCGTCATTATTTTTATTATTATTATTACCATTATCATCCTGATTATCATTATTATTATTATTATTATTATTATCATTATTATCACCATCATTATTATTTTCACTATCTTTATTATAATCATTATTATCATTAACATTATCGTCATTATCATCATGATTATCATTATTATCGTTATTATCATAGATTTTTTTATCATTATCATCATCTCCATAGTTCTAAGCATCATAATTATAAATATCATTGGCATTATAATAAACAATATTATCATTATCTATATTATCATTTATGTCATCGACATCGATATCATCATTATTCTTCTTACCTTTAGCATCATTATTAACATCAGAATATTCATTATCATCATTAGTATCATCATCATTGTCATTATCATTATTATTATCGTCAGCATTTCAATTATTATTATCATCATCATAATAACTATTATCATCATCGTCATTATCATCATAATTGTCATTATTATTATTTTTATTATCATCCTTGTCATTATTAACGTTATTGTCATTATTATTATCATCATCACTATCTACAATCACATCATCATTATCATCGTCTGTATCGTTAGCATTATTTCTATTTATATTATTATCATTATCATTGTCATAATTATCATGATCTTCATTATTATTATTAGTATTGTCATCATCATTATTGTTGCTATTAACATTATTATTGTCATCGTCATCATCGTCGTTATTGTCGTTGTCATCGTTGTCGTCGTTGTTGTCGTTGTCATCGTTTATGTTGTCGTCAAAGTCGTTGTTGAAGTTGTCATCGTCGTCGTTGTCATTAATTGCGTTACTATTATTATTATTATTATCGTTATTATCATTATCATTATCAATGTTATCATTATTATTATCATAATGATCATTATAACTGTCATCGTAATTACCTTTTTGATTATTATTATTGTTACCATCATTATCAGCGAGATCATAATTATTATTCTTATCATTATCACTATTATTATCAAAACTATCATTATTATCATCATCATTATCATTAGCTCTATCATCATCATTATCATCGTCATCATTGTCCTTTTACTATCAACATTATCAATATCATCATAGTTATCCTTATCGTCCTCGTCATTGTCTTTTTCATTATTATTGTTATAATCATCGTTATCGTTGTCGTTTATGTCATGGTCGTCCTTGTTATAATTATGATTATTATGAACATGATTATCATGATCATTTTATTCATAATCATTATCATCACCATCCTTGTCATTTTGATCATAATCATAATCATATTTATTATCAGCATCTGTATTGTTGTTATTTTTATCATCAACAACATAATTATCATTATTACTATTGTTAGCATTATCATTACAATTATCATTATTAATTTTACTGTCATTAGTAAAACTATTAATAATGTAAATATCATTAGCGTCAGCATTATAATTATCGACATTATTTTATTATCATCATCATTATCATTATCATTATTATCATCATCATTATCATTATCATTATTATCATCATCTTAGTCATTGTCACTATCATTATCATCATCATCATCATTTTTAAGTATAATTATCATCATAATCATGATCATGGTAATTATACTAATTATTATATTTAGCATAATCACTATCATCAGTATCTTTGTCATTGTCATAGTCGTCGTTGTCGTTATCGTCGTCATTTTCATAGTTGTCGTTGTCGTTATCGTCGTCATTATCATTATCTATATCATCATCATTATCATTATTTTCAGCATTATTATTATTTTTTTTAACATCATCAACATCTTAAGTTTTATTATCTTTGTCATTATTAACATCCTCATGATTATCATTATTACCATTATTGTCATCATCATAATCTTATCGTAAACATCATCATTATTATCGTTATCATTATTGTTATCGTCATCGACATCGTGAACAATATTGTTGTTATCATCGTCATTGATGTCGTTTTTGTCGTCATCGTTATTATTATTATCTTTATCATTATCAACATTATCATGATTATAATAATTCTTATTTTCGTCGTCGTTGTCGTTGTCATTGACATTGCCGTTATTGTTATCGATATTATTATTGAATTCATCATTATTAGTGTCATTATTTACGTTATTATTATTATTACTATCATCGTTACTATTAAAATTATTGACATTATCATTATCATCGTCTTTATTGCTAGCATAATTATTAATTTTATTATAATTATTACCATTGTTATTCCTATCACGATCATCATTATCATTAATATTATTGTCTTCGACATTATTATTGTTATCGACATTGTCATAGTCAACGTCGTCGTCATTGTCGTCGTCGTTGTTGTTATCTATTTTGTTATTATCATTGTCATCATCATTGTCATCATTATAATCATCATGGTCATTATTATAATAATTATTATCTTTATTATCATTATATTCGTCATCATGATCATTATTTTAATCATTATTATTATTACCATTATCATAAGCTATATCAATTTTATTATCATTATCATCATTATTATTATCATTGTTATTAGCGATATTATTGTCGTCGTCAGCGTCATCGTCTCTAATGTTTCCGTAGTTGTCATTATTGTCATCAACGACATTGTCATTGTCATTACCATTATCGTTAATATCACCATCATCATAATCGTCATGATTATTATTATTATCATTGTAACTATTACCAACATAACCATCATCATTATTATTATCACCATTATTTTTATTAACATCATCATATCTATTATAATCTTTAACATTATTATAATAAGTAATATTATCATCAACATCATTATTATTATTATCATCATCGGCATCGTTATTTTCACTGTCATAATCATTATCATTGTTATCGTCAGTATTTTAATTATTATTATTATCACCATTATTACCATTATCATCACCATCATCTTTATCATCATTATCATCATCGTCATTGTCATCATCATTATTTTTATTATTATTATTGTCGTTATTAACGAAATTTTATTCTTATTATAATTATCACGATTAATATTTTTTATTACAATTGTCTTTATCGTTAGCTATATTATGAATTTAATTATCATCGTAACCATTGTAATGATTATCACGATTATCATTATAATTATCATCATCGTCATCATTATGTCTATTGTTATCGACATTGTGAATGTCATTGTCATGTGATTGCTGTTATTATTATCATTATTATTTTTATCACTATCATTTTTATTATTATCATTTTAATAATCATCATTTTTATCTTCATCATCATTCATGTTATTACTATCATTATTCTCATTATTATTATTATTATTATTATTATTATTATTATTATTATTATTATTATTATTATCGTTATCATTATCATAATTATTGATATCGACATTGTCATTGTCGTGTCATCCTCGTCGTTGTCGTCTTTGTCGATGCGTTGTCGTTTATCGATCGTTGCTGTCGTCGTCGTTATTGTCGTCGTCATTGTTGTCGTTGTCGTCTTCTCCTCATGATTGTTATTTTTATTATCATCATTGTCATCATCATCATTATTATTATTATCATCATTATTATCATCTATAGTATCGTTATCATTATTAACATTATTATTATCAGCATCGTGATCATTACTATCATTATCTTTATCTCTATCATCGTCAGCATTTTAATAATTATTGTCATAATCATTATAACAATTATCATAATTATCATTAATATTTTGCTTATCCTTATCATTATCATCGTCATTATTTCTATCATTGTTATTAGCATTGTTATCGTCGTCATTGTCATTGTTTTAGTAGTCGTTGTCGTTGTCATCGTCATTGGTGTCGTTGTCGTAATTGTCAATTGTCAATGTTGTTGTTGTCATTGTTGTCGTCATCGTTGTCGTTGTCACTATTATTGATATCATTATCATCGTTATTATTATCGACATCATTATTATCATCATTATGATCATCATTATCATCATCATTATTGTTATCATCATTATCATAATTATTATTATTATCATTATCATTATTATCTACGTTATTATAATTATTATCATCATCATTATTATAATTCTTATTATCATTATTACCATCTTCATTATAGGAATCATTAATACCAATACCAAAATCATTGTTATCATCTTTATAAATATTATATTTATTTTTATTATGATCTTTAGTTTTGTTATTTTTATGAATACTGTAATTATAATCACTAATAC